GAATTTATGGTTTGCTATTTTCTGAGTTTGTTCACAACTACAGGGCCTACACTATGAGCAGAGCAGACACAGGCAGCTTAGTGACCTAGACTATAGATTTGAATGCAAACTTTATTCTATTCAAATCCTAGAAAACTGTATTAAAGCCACAAGGCTACCAGGAACCATGTTAATAAATTCAATTTGGGTCATAGATAACTGAAATAAATTTGTTCTGTAGTTTCTGGCCCATGAGAAAATACACGTTCCTAGTGTGTTGCACACCTGTAATCTCAGACCTCGGGAGGCAAAGACGGGAAGATGGGGCATTTGAAGGCAACAAACAACGGGGCTATAGTGTAAGGGTGTGAAACGCACCACACCTGTGTGCATGCACGCACACTCTTTTTGCACCTGTGTGTATCTTTGTGGTCTAATCTGCAGACATTTTTGTTTTTAGTCTTCTCTCCAGTCCCTGAGGGCAGGGACATCTGTAGCGTGTGCTTCTATTTCACTCTGAACAGCCATTTTTGCAAAGGTTCGAGCTGGGAAGTTCGAGTATGGGCTCATAACGCCATCTTTGGGAGCTAAACACGGAAAGATGAGTAAGTGCAGTTTTCCAAAGCAGGTTGTGATTAAAAGGGCAGACCATGCCATCTGCCATCGAAGAGAGGACTGGCTTTTGGTGCTGCCTCCTCTAAGTGTAGCTGTTTAAAGTGCGCCTCTCTGCTAACCTGTCGCTCTCGTCCCTGCCACACTCCCCAGATGGCTTCTCTTTTGTATGGTTAAACTAACAGGGAGAAGGAACATTGTAGTAGGAAGCTGCTTGTTTGTTTTCCTGGCTGCCCAGAGTCCTGAAATAATCACACAGAAACTGTATTAACTAAATCACTGCTTGGCCAATTAATTACTTAAGCATATCGCTAGCTAGCTTTTACATCTAGAATTAACCCATTTCCAGTATTTTATATTTTACCACGAGGTTTGTGGCCTACCGGCAAGGTTCCAACATGTCTGTTTCCAGCAGTGGCTCCATGGCTTCTCCTTGACTCTGACTCCTTTCTCCCAGTCTAGTTTCCCCCACCTAGCCAAGTTCCGCCCTGCTATAGGTCCAAACCAGTTTCTTTATTCATTAGTGGTAATCACAGACACGGAGGGGACTCCCACATCAGAACACTTTATTTCTACTGGTGACCAAGTCAGAGTTGCGACAGTGGAGTATGAAACAAATCCAGTCCTCTGCGGTGCCTATTTCAATTGTGTGGGCACTGGTTAGGGCCGAGTCTCATGGAGAGAGTGCACATGGGAGAAATCAATAATCTGATCAGGAAACAGGGGCGAGGGTGTGTGACTCACCTTGGCAGGTGCCCAGTACTGACCCATCCTAGTGACTGAGGAGGGCCAGGAGCAGTGCTTAGAGACCAGAAGACATGTAGTCAAGACAATAATGTCTTACAGAGCCAACGGTCCGTTAGTTACACAGCTCATGTACAAGCTACATCACCTAAGTAATTTAGCAGAGATGGCCTCAATAACCAGGGAGAAGTCTTTCTTCACACGGCTTTTGGATAAATCCTACGTAGTATTTTAAGTTTGCTTATTCTCGGAAAAGGAACAACTGGTACAGGCTGGCACTTAGAAACAGACGCAGTACATGAACCGCTGTCGCCTCTGCTCTTTGTTGAAAACTCCGTTTCCTGAATTTACTTGGTATATTAGAGGTTCTTTAGAGAAACAGAACTAATCACACACACACGAGAAACAACTAAGTCAGTCTCCATTAAAGTAACAACAGCTGAGTTATACCTGAGAGGACAATAACCCTGTAGCGGCTTGTTCCTTGAAGTTGGAGTTGTCCCACAGCAGCAGGAGGACAGCCTGGCAGTTTCTCAGTCCACAAGACTGGGTGCATCTGCGGTCTCCATCAGGCACCAAAAACCTGGGGGGTCCCTGGAGAGTCACTGATCCTGAGTCTGGACACGTGAGCTCTGACATCAGCAAAGGGCTCACTGCAGCTACAGGCCAAATCAACTCAGAATGAAGAGGAGGGCCAAGCTGGACTGCCAAAAGGTGCGGCCCATACTTGGGTGGGTGTTGGGCATCAATCAGTTCTGGGGCGGGGCCAACTCAGGTGATCCTAATTTGCATTGAGCTGCCACTGAAACCAACTGTAATGCTTTGGTTTTATTTAGTTTTATTAGCACAGATCGTCAGCATCATTACCTCAGGTAAAGTCTGCGTAGCCCAGGCTGGCCCGAAACTCACTATGTAGTCCAAGATGGCCTCCCAGAGCTAGAATTACAGCTGTGTACCAGCATGCTCCACTTAGCACAGATTGGCTTTGAATGTTTTCTTCCAGGCCTCTCACTGTGGAAAAGCTGAAGGCATGAGCCCTGGAAGCCAGGACACTCTGCTTCTGCCCTACAGAGCCTCCCTTGGGGAGCATTGCATTACAGATGTCCTTTGCCCTGATTATCTCCCCTTGGTTTGGAGACACTTGTTTTGGGAGTTAACAATCCTTAGGTGAGGAAGTGGTTGCCCCCAAGAGCCAGTGTCAGGCTACGGAGATAGCTCAGTGGGTAATGGCACTTGTCACCAAACCTGAGTTCATGACCCACATGCTGGAAGTGGAGATCAGAGTCCTGCAAGCTGTCCTCTGAGCTCCATGTCACCTGCATGCTTGTGAGGGTGCACACACACACACACAGCTTGAAGGAAGCAGTACAGTGGACCCTTGCCTATTGTCTTCTTAGACTTTTAATAAAAAACTCTCAAAGTCGAATAATGATTTGATGGGCAGAACCAGTTTTAATCTACTTCACTACAAAGGTATTAAATGGGAAATAGAGGCTGAGGACTAAAAGACACTAAAAACACAACAAAAAAAACCCAATTTGCTTTATTTAATATCTCAAAATCACAATATCCAAACACTTACTATGGGGATGGTGGTTTCTTTTTAAAGACATTATTCCTTTGTTTTTCTGACTGAATGAGATGTCTTGACCTACATGGATGACCTTGTTCCTGCATCCAGCTCCGGTGTCCTGAGATGACAGGCAAGTACCACCATGCACTACATTTCATTGCTGCAGGGGATGAAACCCAGTGGTTTATACCTGCTAGGCAGGCGCCAGTCAAATGAACTATGGCCCCTGGCCCCAAGCTCATCTTTAGGTTACCCTCCCGTGTCAGAGCTCATGTCTGGAGTCTTTCTTCTTTTACCTTCATCTAGCCTCGGTCCTGCAGGGTTAAGTACTCCACAGCCTGTATAGAAATGCCTTCGTCTTTGTCCAACCCTTTCCATTTGTAGACACCTTAAGGGAGGCTTCTGGAACAGGGTTTCTTCATGTTCCACCCACTTAAGCTTTTCCACTAAAAAACAAGCATTCTCCTGTGGCTCTTGAGGGTATATTTCCATTTTTCAAAAGTTGTTTGCTGCTGCTGTTTTCCTGTGTGTGTGGCGTTGGGGAATCAAATCCAAGCAAGACCTTGTCCATGCTAGGTGAAGCTCTTCCTTGGAGCCCCAGCCCTGCAAGTGCTTTGCAAAACACAAGGCTGTTGAAGAGCCAGACAACTATTGAAGGTTCATTTTTATTTCTCTAGATGATTAAAACTTTTCGAGTTTCAATCATTCTACTGAAGTCACCTGGGTGTTGGTCTTGGAATATTCACTTCAGCGTTTCTGCCGTTGAGGTATTTTTTTCTTGCAGTATATAGTTTTTAGTACATATTCTTTCCTTTCAGTGATGACTGTCATGCCCTGGTAGACACTCCTCATTGTCTTCAGTGTTTACTGTTCCTTCTTTGACCTTTGAAATGTGTCCTTTTCACTTAATGAAGTTTGAGGTTTGCTCATTCTTATTTTCTTTCAAGTTTAAATTATCTAAACCATCCTGTTTGAGATATACTTCTCATACCATACAATGTGTCTACTTAAATTGAGTACATAATCACAAATGTCAACTTTAAAAAAAACCTTCCATCTTCCAGTGATCATAATCCCTTTCTATCTCTATAAATATCCCTTCCTAGATATTTCGTATAAAAGAAGCATAAATATGGCAACCTATAAAAGCTGGATTTTTCCTGCATTCAGCATGTTTCAATGCTCATCTAATATCCCATCTCTCCCTATGGTCATATGTTTCACTGTCTGTATATTATCATTTTCTTTATCAGTCCATTCACAGATGGATATTTGGCTTTGTGAGCAATGCTGGACTCGAATTAGAGCCTCCGTTCCATGATGGGGATGGAAATGAGAAAGGGATTTTCAGGGGTTTGGGGAGCTGCTTCAACCAATAAGGTGCTTGTCGTGCAAGCATGAGGGTCTGCGTTCAGATGGCCAGCACTCATGTGAAATCTGGGCTTGTGGCATGTCCGCACCTCCGTGTTGGGAAAGCAAGGCAGGTGTGCCTGTGGCCTTGCTGTCCGGTCAGTGAAACCAAAGGCTCCCAGGGTCACACACAGTCTTGGCCTCAACAAAAGCAAAACTACGGTGGTGAGTGATGCAGGAAGACACCCAAAGACGCTTCTGGTCACTAGATACGCCCCTGTCAGACATGCCAACCCTCATACATACAACACGTGACGCCACCCCAATTGAAAATGTAAAGGAATTCTAACCAAGAAATAAAGATATTTTTGCATTTTAGATAATCACTCTTGCATTCTGGTTAGAGGTTTGCCCCAAGAGAAAATGACTTGACCATAAACTGAAGCTAAAAGACAAGGACTGGATGGGTTGAGAGTTCACATTCTTTTATAAACTACCAGCAATGATTCTAAACAGTGTGAACCACACAGTCTGGTTCATCTGCCAAAGAGATCTGCGATATCAACAGTCTTGGCACAAGTTGGTTTGGGACATGTTTTTCCAGGCTTGAGAGGGCAGACCACAGAGAAGACAGCAGCTGGCCTGTATAAGTATAAGGAACTTGAGTATGCATGCAAGAGCCTGTAGTGATAGCTACACAAAGCCTAAGCAACTTATCAGAGACAAACATGCTTCTTTATAAACCAATGGACAGTTCAGATCCAATACCTTAAGGCATGCAACCTTTGATTATGCTCTGTTACGTGGGGAAACAGATTACAGACCTTCAAAGTAGAGAGGCCACCTTGTTCATCTGGGTAGGTCTGTCCTAAATACAAGAGCTCTTTCAAAGCCACGGGTCTTCTCTGGCTGGGGAAAGAAAGCTATGGCAGGAAGAACTTAGAGTTTCAGTGTCTGAGCAGGACACAGGCAGTTCTGGAAGCAGGCCATGTGGAAAGCAGCAGGAATATATGCAGCTTCTAGAAGCAAACTGGCCATGAAGGAAATGAGGGCGGTCCTACTGCTGCTGCAAGGAGCCCTGCAGACCGGGGGAGAGATGCTCTGGTCACGTGTTAGTACTTGGAGGAGTTTGGGAGAACAAATGTCCTTGGAGCCTCTGGGGAAGAGCCCACCCTGACTCACAATCCTTCCTGGGCTTCTGCAGAGGACCCAGGTGAGTCACCCTGAATCAGGAAATGACACAAGCATGCAGTTTAAAGCCATTAAGCTTGTGGTGATCTTTTCTGGTAGCAGCAGTAAATTAAAACAAAAATGTGTTAAAAAAAAAAAAACCAAGCATTCCAACGACATTCTTCACAGAAATAGACAACACAATCCTAAGTACATAAGGTACCCAAAGCACTGGTTACTTTTCTATTGCTGTGATAACACCATGCCCAGAAGCAGTTGATGGAGGGAAGGTTTACTTTGGCTTATGGTTGCAGAGGGCTGGAGTTCATCATGGCGGGAGGCATGACGGCTGCAGTAGGAAGCTGGGAGTTCAACCTCAACCACAAGCACAAAATAGAGAATGAGCTGGAAATGGAGTGAGGCTATATACTCTCAAAGTCACCACCAGCAGTGACATACTTCCTCCATCAAGGCCACACCCCAATCCTCCCCAAATAGTGCCACCAACTGGGAACCAAGTGTTCAAATACCAGAGGTTCTAGGAGACATTTCTCATCCAAACCATCACACCCAAATAGCCAAGAGCACCTCAATATCTGACTCAAAACTACACTGCAGCACTAGAGTAACACACCCAGCATGTTATTAGCACAAAAAAAGACACGTATGTAGCTGGGTCCTAACGTCTTCCTGAGTGGGGGGTGAGAAGGCCCTGCATGAGCGACACAGATGACAAGAGTCTGGTGAAAGGAATACAGCAGACTCATTTATTTAGCAACAGGGAAAACCTTATATACCCTCCCAGCGCCCAGGCATTCTGATCCATTGATGTCACATGGTTGCCCCTCACTGGCAAGGCATGAGGACCGCTGACAGTACCAGGCAGACTCCAGGTTGGCTCACTCTGCCTGGTAGGCTTTAAACTTCCTACACAGCAAGTCCCAGAAATAAACCCATGCAGCTACACACATCTGATTTACAACAGAGTCACCAGAAACACACCCAAGAAAAAGGCAGCGATTCTGGGGAAAGTAGACAGCTGCTGTAGAAAAACCACAGAAAATCAATTCTAAATAAACCAAAGGCTTTAATTTAACACTGAAAACACTGACAGTACAGGCAAGGGCTTCCTGAATAGGACTCCAATAGTTCAGAAAATGATAGCAAGAGTTGCCAAATGGAATGAAAAGATTCTGCACAGCAACCAGAACAATCAGTGGTGACAGTCAGGCATCCTACAAAATGGGAGAAAAACATTTCTGCCAGCTACTTCACTGACAGGGGATTAACATCTAGAATAGACAAAGAATTTTTTTTAAAATAAAAAGCACCTGAAAAATAAATTATCCACTCAACAAATGGGCAAAAACCACACTTTTTTTTAAAAAACTAATGTGCAAACCAATATGTGAGCAGAAATTATCTGCAGGGCTTCTGGCTTTTCTTTTGCTCTAAAGCACAAAAAAAGAGGAACAAAGAAGAGATCCAGCAGAGGGGAACCGGAACAGGAGTGGAGGACAAAGACGATTAGAAGAGATGGAACATCAAGGCACTCATGAAAGAAAGTTAATTGACAAAATACCAACGAATTACTGAAAGAAAAAAAAAGAAGATGGTACACACCTCCTTCCAGGGGAAAGAGATGAGGGGTAACAAGGATCTGAAGTCCCTGTGAGCAGCACGGCTGCAGTTGAGCTGCTGGACTCCAGCCTCGGAAGAGGGAAGAGGAAGACACAGGGATAGGAATGGGTGTTCAAGCAGCCATTTGCCAGCAGAGATTACACATGCAGCGTCCTGGTCGGTCCTTTGGGAAGTGCTAATGTGCTGGGCACTCATTCAGAGATGGTAGCGACTTACAAAACCATTCATGGAAAACCAGGGACTCCTCCCAGCTCTGTCTGTATAAACACTGCTGCTGCGTGGATTAGGAGAGCACCAGCCATTTATGCATCCAACACGTCCTTCTGGAAAGCTCTTCATCCTCTGCTTGGTTCCAGGCTTGGAAGGATTTGAAGACTGCCCATACCAGAGTCAACAGGGCTCCCTGCTCATCTGCCAGTTGCTGGAGAAGCAGCCAGCCTGGAGAGAACCTCCGAGGACAGAATGTTCCTCCTCTTCCCAGCCGGTGTGGATGAGCTGCAGAAGGATGAACGATTGTCCCAGGCCATGGGCTGGATGCCACTCTTCAACCTTTGCTGACACCTTTGGTCTGGGCTTAGAAACAGTTGCTAGGGTTCTGGCAAGCTCTTTATACACCTAGTCCCAGGCTACAAGTGTGAAGGAAGCACTTCCAGTATTTTTTATTGGTATCTTAAAACATTTTTAAAAATTATATTTATTTAGATTTGTATGTGCACAGGCAGGGAGTGCACTGCCACTCCGAGAACGTGGAGAATATCTTGCAGGAGTTAGTTTTCTTCTACCATCTGGGGCTTGGATATTGAACTCTACTGGTGTCTTTAAAATCTCCTTTAAACTTGGGCATGGGAGCACACACCTGGAGCACGCACCAGGAGGCAGAAGCAGGAAGATCACTGCAAGTTTCAGGCCATGCTGGGCTACATAGCAAATTTTAGCCCAGTCGAAGCTACTAAGTGAGACTCTGAAAAAATAAACAAATAAGTAAAGAAAATTCCCTTTAAGACAGACACTCCATTTCAGTCACATGTCTAACACAGAGAATAAAAGTATGGGAGTATAATTTTATTCTACTCTGTACCAATGCCATGGACACCCACAGAACTAGATCACCAATAGTTACAGCATTACATGTTTTAATAATAGTGACATACACCATCAATTCCTGAGTAAACAGTACAGTGTAAAATTTAATCTATATTGCTCAGAAGACATCTTGCAGCATAGAAAGTGATCAAAATGATTACTTACTTTATCATGTCATAAAATACAAGTGTTTATTGCAGAACAGTGATACAATTTCAGTGGTAAGGAAAACTTGCAGGTCATAACAAAGGCTCTTGTTTGTATGCGTCTGCTGCCATGATTGACGTTCCGGGTTAGGCATCAGTAGTAAAAGAAGCCACGGTACAAAATTAAACCAAGTTACCTATACTGAAGACACACGACTTCATTCTGGAAATGGAAGCCTGGTTAACCTTTCGTACATACAAAAATTCTTTTAAAAAAATCCTAGGTGATCACAAATATAAACTAGTTGAATAAAAGACAATGGCAGCGTTTTATTATGCTGTGAATCCGTGGATCTCATCATTGGAAAAGTTAAGATCATGCAGCAACCTGAGGAACAGAAAGAGTATTGGGAAAAGTGCTTACAAAGAAAGCATGAGATCAAAGCTTGCTAACATACCTCCTCATCTTCTCAAGTCGTCTTTGTTTCTTAAAAACACAACGATCGCATCAGAAACTTAACAATTCCTAAACAGCACTGAGATCAAAGCTTGCTAACATACCTCCTCATCTTCTCAAGTCATCTTTGTTTCTTAAAAACACAATGGTCACATCAGAAACTTAACAATTCCTAAACAGCACTAGGTAGTTAATGAGTGTTCAAATTTTCTCATTTAAATTTTCAGTGACTTGAGTCAAGATCCAGTTATAATTGATTCATTGTAAATGGTGAACAAGGCTTTGGATACATTTGATCTCCACGGTCCTTCTTTCCCTTCTGCTCCCACCTTAGCACTGCGGACTCCCCACCGTCTACTCTGCTGCACCCCATGACACTCTTAAATAGCCCGGCCCTGGGTCCTCTTATTCCTTACACCTGACAAATGGATGGAGTCTAGGACTTCCTTACAGACAGGTTTACTTCTCTTCGGCTACTCATTCAGAGTGTTGTTACTCTAAGAGGCACACAACACATGGCTACCTCCCTTATTAGATGCTAAGAACCCCTGGGCGCCTAAGAATTGCTCAGATTGGTGAGATTCTACTTCCACCATTCTTTCCTCACTGATCAACTGAAGGACTCTATAAAGAAAACCTGCTCTGGCTATGTGGCTGCCCAGCAGCACGCGTACACACTGTCACAGAGAAAAAGGCAGAATAAAGGAACCCAGTGCATACAGAAAAGGCAGAATAAAGGAACCCAGTGCATACAGAAAAGGCAGAATAAAGCTTTGCTTTCTTCACTTTCCTCAGCAGTTTTCAAAGTGAGGAGCAGGAAAACAAACTGCTGAAATACCCTTCAGCTTGGGAAATCATACAAATAGAGACTGAGACCATAGAAGTGGCTGCTTAAAATACTGCCGAAAATAATCATTATTTATTCAGCACTTCTGTTCAGAGCAGGAATACCCACAGGAAGGCCATGTGGCACAGGGTTAGGGCACAGAGGTCAAGCTGTTCGCTCTGGGAGCCCACTCTACTTTCTAGACTGTATACTGTCACCCCCAGGCAAGGGCTTCCCTGTAACCAGTCTACTCTTTCGATGCCTTTAACACGCTTTCTCTACTTTCTGACGGCAGGTTTTTTCAGGTGCTGTGAATGGCAATGATAAGCGGATATTCTTTTTGTTTTGTTCTGTCTTTTGAGATAGGGTCTACTTAAATAGCTCAGTCTGTCCTGGCTTCCAGAATACTGGGATTACAGGTGTGTACACCATGCCAGTTCTGACTGCTGTTAGCCATCATTTGTAATATAGGTCCTTTATGACCACATGATTCTGGTCTCCTCAAAACACACACCCCTAGGTGACAGTACCTGACTCCAAGTTGTATTTCAGTCACATCTGTCTCACTCTGGACAGTGTGAGCCTCTGAAGTTGAATCTACTTATCCATGTCTTCAATTCAAGGTAGCGAGTGTATCAAAGCATCGTTGTTTGTGTTTTGTTTTTTAAACTGCGGGCTTCTAACCCTTTATTATACAAATTGCCAGGTGCTCATGAGATGCAATGAGATGCAGAGGGTAAGCTTGGGATACAGCTAGTCATCCAGTTAGTATTGAGGGGCCTGGTTCTAGGTCTGCCCATAGGCACCAAAGTCTGCAGGCCCTCACAACCCTCATATAAAATGGCAGTGTATTTGTGTTGTATGTATCCCAAGATACTTTAAATTATCTCTAGATTAGTACATAAATAAAAAAAATGCAAGCGCTGCGTAGCTGTGCTGTGCTGCCCAGGGGCTGATGACAGCAGCTGTGCAGTCATCCCAGCTTCAGTACCAGCACAAGGTTAGAGGGTTTCTAGTCTACGGCTTCAAGTGGAACTGGAGGAGATGGAGAATGACTTTCGTGCAGCACGTAGCAGACAAGAGATTAACTCTGGAGGCCCGAGGAAAGGATGGCAAGGAAATTTAGTTTACAGAACAACAAAACCATGATAATGTAAGAGCCTCTTGTCACTGCTGATATGAAAGCCGCATTAGCTCAGCATGAAGGTGCACACTTTAATCCCACACCCAGAAGGCACAGGCAGAGGCAGAGCCAGGCATAGTTCTGAGTTTGAGGTCAGTCAGGGCTACATGCTGAGACCTGGTCTCAAAAAGAAAGACAGACGCATTCCATTAAGATGGCAAGGACAAGAAATCAGGGAAATGAGTCTGAACAGAAAGTCACAAGGGAGATGTCATGAAATGCAAATGCTGATCTGGGGCATGTCACCTTGACAGGCAGCTTGTGTAGTTTGCTCAGGGTAGGTAATCTCAGGGCACCATGGGGCATGGTTAAGAGACCTGCTGAGCCCCCTACATAAGCCAGTTCAGCATAGCAGGATTAGTGTTGAGGCAGTTTAGAAAAGAGCTGTAGAGATTACAGTTGCTTTATAGCATTTAGAAACACACAGCCACGACAACCTACTCTTTAATGCGCACATTGAGTGGCTCCAGTGTGCACAGGAGTGGCTATGATGTGCAGAAAGGAATGAATGAAAATGAAGAAGACTTGGCCCCAAGCTTGAGAGGCCGATCGTGGGCAAGGGATAGAGGTGTGCAGTATGGGTGTGCAGCTCCCTCTGCAGTCAGTCTCAAGTGTCCATCACCTAAGGATGGGTGTGCAGATGCCTCTGCAGTCAGTCTCAAGTGTCCATCACCTAATGGTATCATTGCAGCCTACACAGTGCTCGGAGACACCGGGGCCAGCACTGGAGTGCAGCGAGGGTGCAGCACTGAGCCCTGTATCCTACAAAAGCAAATGCTTCCTAAAATTTGGAGTCAGGGGATTTTATAAATAAAATAAAATAAGACTCAGACTATCTAGAAAATTTTAGGTTTATACAAAACAAATTTAAGGAGTCAGAAATTAAAATAGAAAAATCCAGCACTGGGGGCATCTAACCACCTATTTTCAAGTGTGATTTTAGAATTAGATCATCTAAGGTGGTTTTCATTGTGTCGTCTAGCTACGGGTCTTGCTTACTTATGCCGTACAATCTAGCACCTTCACTTGGACTTGCTGCCTGGATGGGATCACTGTATTTTATTCACCAACTCTAGACAGCTGCAGGGAATAAAGACAGAGCCACACTGAAATGAAAATGGCTTACTCATAATTACTTACATTAAAGTGGGTAGAAGGGGAGATAGAGCCCAATGTCCCGAGAGACTGTGGCACTGATCTCGTGACCGTTCATACTGACAGCTGTGGGCAGAGGACACTGTTGGCTGAGTATCACTTTTCTAGCTGTATCTGACACTAAGCATAATCCAGGCCCCAATCCGCTCCTAGTATGTGGACTGGAAAAACCACTATTTTCATAGCTACCAAAGACTTTAAAGTATATGTCAGCATGGCAGGAAGAACCAAAAGGCTTCCTTAGTGCTCTCTATGTGGGCTTCCATTTGAGACTTCTGGTGCCCGACTGCTGCTCACCTTATCCCCTCATCTGTAAATGGTGTTGGTCCACAGATGCAAAGGAAGACTCTGGAGTTTTCTAAACTTCTTTGTAAAAATTCAGAGAGAAGAGCTGGTGACACATGCCCCTGTTTGCCATTCCATTCTGGAGAAGGTGCTGAGAGAACAAATTCAGTATCAAATCTAGGACAAGCAAAAAAAAGAGTTTTCAAAGTCTGTATTTAAAACCTCTATTGTCACAGTTCAGTCAGTAAGGCTCCCTTCCCAAAGGGCAGCGTAGCGAGACTGGATAGGCTCTACATAAACATTTACTAAACACCTGCATGTGAATGCAGATTCGTGAAGCACTGGCCTTGCTGTGGAGAGGGCAATCTACGGATTAGCCTTGCTATGGGTGAGGGCAATCTAAGGATTAGCCTTGCTATGGGTGAGGGCAATCTAAGGATTAGCCTTGCTGTAGAGAAGGGCAATGATCTGTTTTTGGTTTTTGTTTCATTTCTTGAACTTACTAGCAAGAGACTTCCCTGGGATCTTAGAGTCTGTCAAACCGCTAGTAATCATCTGTCCAACAGTCACTTTAATCCCCACTCAAATCTGCCCATGATTGCCCTGGACAATTGGATTAAAAAGCCTATTTGACTTCTTGGTCCTGGTGGTTCCATCTCCATCAGGCAGATGTAGTCTGGCTGCCCAGAGCCTAGCACTAACCCTGTGAGGGATAGTCATTCATTAGGTTGTGTGAGGCAGAACCTCAGCATTCCTCTTGGGAGGCTCCCCTGCCACAGTCTGCATACACCCTATGAGCAGCCCTGGCTCCGGCCTCTCCATTCGGACCTCACAACGTGATACTGCCCACTCAGTCTTCCTTCTGTGATGCTCCTAAGAGCCCCACTCTTCTGCTCTTAGCTCACGCTCATGTCCACCAGCAAGTGCTATACCCACTGCTCTTTCACTCTATGTACTGCAGAAAGGGTGGCCTCTCCCTTTCTTCATGGCCATTACTTCAGGTGGTAAGCATGTAGCCCGCAAGGGAACTTCTGTCTGCTATTTCACTGCCCACCATTTCACCACTATTTCCCTGTTCGCTATTCCACTGTCTGTCATTTCCCTGTCCGCTATTCCCCTGTCTGTCATTTCCCTGTCCGCTATTCCACTGTCTGTCATTTCCCTGTCCGCTATTCCACTGTCTGTCATTTCCCTGTCCGCTATTCCCCTGTCTGTCATTTCCCTGTCCGCTATTCCACTGTCTGTCATTTCCCTGTCCGCTATTCCACTGTCTACTTTGCCTTCAGACCCGAAACTCCATGAAAGCAGGGATCATGTCATCTTTAGTTACTGTATCCCTTGTGGCCAAAATATAGAAGTACTTAAACATTATGAAATCAGACACGTGGAAATTAGAGAGGGCTCAGAGTTTAGGGAGCTAAAAGATAGAAAACCAGAGTCCTGCCACACCTGCTGTGCCGCCATCTCGACAGACTCAGTTCACTGTGCTTCTTCAGGGACCGCTAAGCATCAGCCTAAGCCCTGGGAAAAAAAGCTTTTTGGATGAGAGGAGCAAAAAACCGAATGTGAGAATAGACTGTGGTTGACAGTGCTGCCTTAACGCCGCTGTCACAGCTGGGTTAGACTCCCAAGAACTGACAGGCCAGGCACAGCAACAGCAGACAAGTAAGAGCACCAGGCAGAGATCAGGGAAGCAGCCTAGCCCTGCACACAGGCCCTGCCTCAAAGGCTTCCCAGGGCATTCACTGAACGCGGTGAGGAAACTTCCCCACCAATCACAATCTCCACACAGCTCAGATCAGCCTTCAGTTCTTAGCATCAAGGTTTCCACAAAAGTCTACACAGCAATTCTAACCCACACTACGTAGAACTGCCTCCCCAAACACAGCGGTAAGCACACCCACTTGAAACCCCAATTCAAAAAGTTCAAACATCATAAACATTCTGAGTGCCAACATGACACTATCATGTTCTATCAGATTCTGGAGCACCTAGGATTTCAGATTAGACATCCAGTCAGTGAAGTCTATGCAAACACTGGGAAACTCTCAAGTTCTAAAACTGGAGGACTTCTGGTTCCATTTGGATTTGGGGAACTGAACTGGCCTCTTGTTTCACTAAAACACTGTTACTATCTTTTATCCAAACACCTTTTTGCCATAGTGAATTAAAAGCCAAAGATGGCTGGATTTCCAATGATTTTTTTCACTACAATACAATTGCTAAATTGAGAGTAAATAGGCTCTAATCTGCAATGGATACCCAGTAATTTAGTAAAGTAGTAAACTAGTAAAGTATCCTTTTTAAAGAAGGCTAACCAGTGGCATCGTCTCTACAGCACCTATTTGGACCATGGTGAGGTATGAGCTCCTTCTATACTTACTCCCAGGCTGTTCCTGCCTACAGTCTGGTACTCAATGAACACAATGAAAGGAAGGCAGCACAGATCATGGGAGGTCACTGTAAGGGGCTGCTGTCCTGGATGAGAAGAGAGCTTCACCCAGAGTGGGAGCAAGCCCACATCTCTCTCACAAGAACAGGATCACTGGGCTGCGTGGGCTGAGGCCATGTGCAGACAGCACAGAAATTCAATGATGCCTGCTCTTCTCTCGGGCATAGAAGCAACCTGCCCATTGTGAGCTGCCAGGCATTTCCTGCTCGATTCCAGTGGAAAACTAAAGGCACCAATGCCATCAAGAGATGCTGCTGGGTCACTCTGTGCTGAGGATTCTATCAGGAGGTTCCCGGCCTGAGGACACTTTCACCCTAAGTAATCAGGGGAGTATGGAGAACTTCTCACCATGACAAACAGCAGAGGCTGCTTAAAAAAATTAGGGCATGTTCACATGACAGAGCACAATGCTACTATTATTAAAAATCATGGTATAATACAGGGCTTTCCCGGTCCACACTTCTAGCATTTTGAGCTGTTCCTGGCCTTTAATAACTACATGTCAGTAGCCCCTCTTTCTCCAGTTGTGACCATTGAAAAGAAAAAAAAAGTCTCTAAGAGCTAGAGAGATGACTCAGCAGTTAAGAATACTTTGGCAGTTCACAACCACTGTAATCCAATTCTAGGGAATCTAATGCCTTTGTCTGGCCTCTTTGGGTACTAGTCCTGCATGTAGTATAGTTACATATATGCAAGAAAACACTATACACATAAAATAAAAATAAATAAATCTTAAAGACAGTAACACCGGACCCTGTCTCCAAATGGAAGCATCCCCGAGGATGACTGATGGGAGGGAGGAGGGGAGGCTCAGCGTGACAGAAATACGCTGTAATCAGATAGACTAGGTGAGGCTCACTCTGCTGCCGAGCACAATTATAGGCAGGACTAAAAACCAGTCCTCCACACTGTAGCCTAAGCAACCCACACCCCAGTCATGAAGACCAAAACAAGGACACCTCATGTGCACAGGTGCATGTCCCTTCACGACAGTTTATCAGAATCAACCCTTAGTACTAAAGGATAATGCCTAGTCATTCAAATAAATCTCTTAAAGTTTGTAAAATTTCTCTTTAAGGAACTTAACAATACTTCTGCCAAAAATTTACTAGAGCCAGGCGGTGGTGGCGCACGCCTTTAATCCCAGCACTCGGGAGGCAGAGGCAGGTGGATCTCTTGTGAGTTCGAGGCTAGCCTGGTCTACAAGAGCTAGTTCCAGGACAGGAACCAAAAAAGCAACAGAGAAACCCTGTCTCGAAAATCCAAAAAGAAAAAAGAAAAAAATTTACTAGAAACATTTATTTTAAACCCTACCCATGTCCATTTAAAATCTTTTAAATGCTTGAGAAAACAGGGGTTCTAGTAAGGCAAGCCATTCTCTCCTTGACAGAGGGCCTCTAACCCATCCTAAACACTCCCAAAGCATTGACATGGTCCCCAGACCCCAGCTGTGTAGCAGGGCGAGCAGGACAGGCACCACTATTTGAGTCTGAAGATAAAGGCACAGGTCCGTGAAGCTAAGCAATTCCTAAAGAAGAGTTCAAGTGATCAGGCTTATTTTACATTAATTTTTAAAGATTATTAATGCATGCATTTTGGGGATTTGTTTGCTGTTTGTTTTCTGAGACACGGTTTCTCTGTGTGGCTCTAGCTGTCCTGGAAATCACTCTATGGGTCAGGCTGGTCTCGAACTCAAAGATCCACGAGCATCTGCCTCCCAAGTGCTGGGATTAAAGGCATGTGCTACCACCCTCCTGGCTTAAGATTTATTTTTTTTATTTTCTATGAATAAGTGTTTTGCCTGGATGTGTATACATCCATCAGGTGACTATTGAAGAAGGCATGATCCCCTGGAACTGGAGTTAAGGACGGTTGTGAGACACCATCTGAGTCCTCTGCCACAGCAAATGGCTCTTTCTCACTGAGCCATCTCTCCTTCCCCGTGGAACAGTAAGGCTTAAAGCTGAGGATATGGGAACTAGGGTTTGGTCTGCAAGCTTCCCAGTCAATGTTTCCCAGTGTGAAAGCTTGGAATTTGGTGATCTGTGTTTCCTGAATTCATCCTCAGCTGCCTCAGCAGAGTAAACATGCCGAGGTAGAGGCTTCAGCCAGGTTAAGAACAGTAGTGCTCCAAGGCTAAACATGTTCAAGTCACAGCCGTAACTTAGGAGCCACTCACTAAAGGAGACAGAGGATTATGGGAAGTAGCAGAGAACACAACAAAGAGCCAAAGACCTGCATCCTCAGCCCTAGGGACGGTGGCACCTAAGGGTGTTCGGGCTTTTCAAGGACTGGTAACTTGATTTTTATGAGACTATATGAACATAAATAATCATCTCAGATATTCTTACAACTTAGAAATCCCTGGCATTCTGAGACTAGATGATTGCATAAATGCCTCAGAAAGTATGGTGGCCTGTCTAGCTCAATGTTCTTGAATTTGTACTGCTTGCAACTGACCTTGCTTCACAGTTTTTCTTTTTTCTGTAATGACACAAGCTCTTGCCATGCCTTTCTTTCTCCCTGAGTTCGGCTTGACAAGATCTGCTTTCTATTGATAACACCAGCATAAAAAGAAAACCAGTGACAGGGTCATTAATGCCCACTAACTCCGTCAGCTAAAACTGAAAACCGCTGCTGAGATGGTGAGCAACGGCCCCATGTGCAGGCAGAGAGACGGCTCACGAGAGGACCCAGGCTCTGCTCCAGCTTCCAGCACACTCAATGTCCCAGGATACAGCAAAACTTAAGTCTGAGTTAACAGGTGCAATACCTTTTATCTTTAAATGCCAATTTCTCTAGTTCGCATCTCCAAATTATATCATCCTCTGTTTTATTGAAGAACATCAATTTCACCTTCCTTAAAAGGAAAAAAGGAAAACTCATTAAATGTAAGTCATTATTAGATTTAAAATATGCACAAGTGGAGATGTCCGAAGGAACTTGGTGACTGTTTTTAGGGTAGCCCAAATTATAAAAACATGAAATGAGACAGAAGAAGCCAGCAATACAGTCAGTAGGAGGAGCAGAGTAACATGGCAAGTGGGGCTCTGAGAGCAGACGAACTACCTACCACGGACAATGAATGCCTTGCACTAAAGCCTCCTGAGTAACAGTAATCAGAGAGAAGGGAGCGTACCTGAGACTGGACACGCAAGTCAAAGCGTAGTTCAGCACATTAACCATCGGTGTGAAGCCTGTTCCAGCTGCCAATAAAAACAGATCTTCTACTTCTTGGAGTTTAGATAGTTTAAAATTGCCCTCGGGACTGCTTACAGAAACAAAATCTCCTAAACAAACAAATGAAATAAATAAAATCAGAAAACAAAACAATACAAAAAAGCAGGAAGGGAAACAGAGACAGAGCACTGATGAATGATAGGATGGACATTTGACCTGTGAATGCCACATCAGTCTCTACAGAATGAGAGGAATTTCAGAGGCAATCATCAGATATCCAAATATGTTGGGATTTGATGGCGATAATCAGGCTAAGGAGTAAATAAGGTAGGAGGGAAAGAGATATTTGCTATTTACACACTGGTTAGTAACAACAGGGCCCAGCTGGGCAGGCGAGACGGGAAACAAATGTATTCCGGAGCCTGACATTGGCAGTGCCATGACTTCTCCAGTAAGATTTAAAAAGATCTGTCAGCTGAAACAAGAAGAGCCATCATGAGCTTAATTCCTATGAAACAGCAAGATCAGAAAGCAACTGTTCTTGGGCAGTTGCCTAGTTTCTGTGGGGGTCGGCTGACAGGACTGTCCACACCTCTCATACAAGAACACCGCCACCAGGGTACATTCAGAAATCTCCAACATAACTTGAAAAATAAAAAACAAAACTGTTCCTTATCTTGAAGTTATTTAAATACTATATCTTAAATGTTTGAGTGCTTATAATTTCTTCAGTTTTACACAAGACAGTACTAACAGTCTAAGGAACAATCACACTACAGGATTCTAAAGTGCCTTTCAGAAGTAACATAAAGACTTCACTGACAGTCCACCATGTGGCCCCACTGTGAGCTGATGCTGACAGAGAAGAGGAAGAACATTTTTGCCATTAAGGCAAAATGAATCAAAAGGAGGTAGGGAAAAATGAGAAAACACAGAGAAAGGGTCAGAAACAAGAAGGAAAGATTTCGCATCTTCAGAGACATTATAATCTGTTATCCAGTCTTTCCAAGTTCGTTTCCTGACAGCCTAGTATGTGCCAACTGTCAAGCTAGGTCCTGGAAATAAGACACTTTCTACCTGTAAATGTCAATCTTACAAACAATCGGTGTGCTCCTCTTAAAACAGAGCATGAGCAACTGTTCTTAAGTGATTCCGAGAAGGTGGGCTTCATAATGGAAGTGCTCATCTGTCGAGTCTTTGCAAAGGAAGGGCTGATGGATATTCTAGATGAGGGTCCTATAGGAACCTAAGAATGAGAATACCAAACACAAAAGCTAGAGCCTAGCAGCCCTTGTAAGCCCTGCAGGGAGTTGAGCAGTACAGGTAAAGAAGACCTGCTAGAGGCTTCAAAGCTGGGGAGAAAAGTGAGTCTATTCTCAGAGGAAGTGGAGAAGCTGCTGGGATATGCACGAAGAGGAAGACACCAGTTAGAGCTGTGTGAGAGATCAGTTAGGGGACAAAATGGAAAGGATGGAGGCTTGTTTTCAGAGCACAGCGTTGGGAGGAAAGATGACAGCAAACCTTGTGGCTGACTGGATTGGGGGAATGAGCAAGTCTCCAGAGCAGGGCAGAGATGAACAGAGATGCTGCAAATGATAAAGATGGAGGACATGGAGTACCAGACAGAGAGAAGACACGCTGAGTTTAAGGTGCATAACACACTCCCACATGGAGATCACAGAGGACCACTCACTGATTCAATCTACAGTACAAACAAGGCTACAAATCAACATTACTAACCAATCTGAAGACGATCAAGCTCTGGTGTGAAGAGTCCATCAGGATAGATTTTGATCAGAAAGTAGATGTATTTATTTGGGGGAGGAACTGGTTCTCTAAAGCCTGAGAGTAAGGAGGCAGACACGGGTGTGTATGGCTTTACTATTTCTGCACCTGGAAAAAAAAATCAAAACAAAGAAAAGTGTAATACTTAAAAATCTCTTAATGAAGATAAAACATAAAAATTTTATGATGCTATCGGTGTATGTTTAAAACTAATGTATATACACCTTTAATGAGATGCTCCATATCCATGTTTCAATTCAAGGATATAATCTTAACAAACCAATGCTTAACCATTATACAGACTTTTTGTAAATTTTTTGTAAAACTAAGTATGGTCTATAATAATGAATCCAGACAGATATATAACTTGTGAAGCAGGCCACAATAAAATGGCATCAATGTTTTCCATGGAGGTGTAACAATAAAGACAGACCAATTCCAATATAAACCACACACTTAGCAACAGTTAGTGGTCAACAATGAGAGCACTAGAGAAAGAAAAGGAGGCATTTCACTTCTAATTTTATATATTTTGGATTGTTTTAATGTTCTAAAATTATTATTTTGGCAGCTGAATGAAAGGAAGGATAATCTAATTAGGTCATGGAAAGTTTTATTTGTAAAAGCAAAATGATTTGATCAAGTGCTAAAGAAAAGAGTCATGAAACATTTGAAAGAGCACAATTTCATCCGTGGTTCTCATTATTTCCTATAACTAAAAGCTCACTGGCTGAGAGCCATGCTAGGGAGACAACAGCTCCTGGCGGCAGTCTGCACTAGTGATGATGAAGAGCCTCATGGCACCATCACGGAAGAACACCTACACCAAGTCCCAGCAAGGCGTCTATAAGACAAACACAGACTGAAGTAAGGAGCCTGCAGCTTCAAGAGGCCAAGAATGTTGGCTATCCGTAAGAACTCGAGTAACTGAAATAAGTAAATGAAGAGATTTAGGACGAAATAAGGGAAAAATAATCCACACAGCAAGGAACACAGTTTTGAACACCTTGAACTGGTAGAATACATAAGGAAACCATGTGCAATTATTCACTTGTTTTGAGTTTTATAGACTCAAATCTCCTGAGTGGCACAGCCCCTGGGAGATACCAAGGACACAGGTCTGTTTCTAATGATACTCCCTGTGGAGACCACTGTGTGCTCTCTCCCTGTCCAGGTCATCAGTAGCAAAGCCACAGTCTTCACACCCCTGCAGCCACAGACCCAGAGGCTTCCTAACATTAAAGCCAGGTGTCCAAAAGGGCCAGTAACTTAGACGACTGTACAAAATAACATGTTCCCCACTCCACCCCACCGTGGCTCTAATCCCCTTACCTGTGACACTGAGCTTGAGGTAAACATGGTGCCCAACTGGCACCTGAAGGTGAGTACTTGGAGGCAGCATCAGACAGAAAAGTCTTGTATCATGAGTAACATCTTCCTTGGAAATCAGCTGGCACCTTCTGTAGGACAAGCCTAGAAGGCAACACGAGTAGGTCACTAGTGGAACCCACGCTCCACTCGGCTCTTCCAGAACTCCAGTCTCATTACCGTGCACACAGCTCTAAAGCTCAGTAACTTTATAAACCTATTGTATTCTAAGATATCTTGTAAAACATGTGAACACATCTATAATTTGAAAAATGGAGAATTAATAAGTCTAATAAAATGAGTGTTATCTTTTCATACCTGTAACAGCACATTAAAACATGTCAAGAAATTAAAACCCAATTTCTTCTTATACATATTTTGTAAGCAACTCCATATTTTAGGCTTTATATTTATAATGATATTGATTGTACATATAAAAACATTTGATAAAGATGGTTACATTCTCAAGTTTTTTTTTCCCAATGAAAAGGTTTTAAAAGTTGAGTACTTGGAATTTAACGCTACTATCACTGTCAAGTAGGCTAACACCACACTCTGATGAAAGAAAACTATGTTATTTCCTTAAGTGCCTTTCGGCCATTTGAGTTTCTTCTGTTGAGAATTCTCTGTTTAGTTCTGTACCCCATTTTTAAATTGGATTATTTAGAATTTTGACGTCTAATTCCTTGAGTTCCTTTTTTTAATGTTTCTTTCAGCTTTATTATTTTTTATGTATCTGAAAATAAAATTGGAAAGACATTTCAGCTAGAGAAAAGCAATATTGTTTAATAAAGCATTTTATGTGACATGAGTACTTATATGACTTTCTTTATATTTTATGAAGAATAGACAGATGTTTGTGAATAGACTAATAATTATGATCAAATGATGGCAAGGCAAGGAAGGGAATATAACAAAGCCCATGTGCTCAGAGTCTCTCGTTCCTGTCTGCACAGGAGCACGCTTCCTAAAACGAAGCAAAAACATTCCTGAAATCCAGAAGACACACTTTCATAAACTAGAAAGGAACAAACCATTTTATTATTTTTTTAAACAATCTTCTTTTATTTTACATACTAATCCCAGTTACCTCTCCCTCCCTGTTTTCTTCTCCCTTTCACGTCCCATTCAGTCCTCAGAGAGGGTGAGGCCGTCCATGGAAAATCACCAAAGTCTGTCACATCACTGACACACGAATATTTTATGGTCATCTTGTACACAGGAATTTGCTGCATTCAACTGATATTTCTAGTTCTTTTTTTTGATTTGGTAGGTGAGGGCTTTTCTATTTTTATGACTCTCAGTAAGACAGAAACTTCTAGTTCTGTGGTTGTATAAAAGAAATCCATAAATGAACAATTGAGTGGAATAGACAATTCACAAAAGAAGTTCAATTGACTTAAGAGCACACACACATATTTTTAACATCAGAAGCAAAGTGCAAAGAAAACACACATACACACACATACTCACACACAAAAACACACTCACAGACACAAATACACACACAAACTCACACACAGAGACACACACAGACACAAACACACAGACACACACAAATACACACAACCTCACACAGACACAAACATAGACACAAACTCACACACACACACTCTCTCAGACACACACACACACACACACACACACACACGTATTAGTATTGGACTTCATCCTTCCCTGCTTTCACTGATATTTCATGTCACAGTCATTTTCAATGAATAAGATTGATTCTCAATATAGATTTTCTTTGCATTTTGTGCCTTGAGTTCCTTATATATTTTGGAGATCAGTCCTTTGATGTGGCGTTGGTGAAGATCTTTTCCCATTAAGTAAGCTGCCTTTTTGTCTTATTGACTGTGTCCTTTGCTTTATAGAAGCTTCTCAGTTTCAGGGGTCCCATTTATTTATTGTTGCTCTCAGTATCTGTGATAGTGGGGTTACATTTAGGAAGTAGTCTCCTGTGCTTATGCATTGAAGACTACTTCCTACTTTCTTTTCTATCAGGTTCAGTGTGGTCAGATTTATATTGAGGTCTTTAATCTATTTGGACTTGAGTTTGTGCATAGGAATAAATATGGATCTATTTTCATTCTTCTACATGTTGACATCCAGTTATGCCAGCACCATTTGTTGAAGATGCTTTTTTCCCCATTGTATAATTTTAGCTTCTTTGTCAAAAATCAAGTGTTCATAGGTATGTGAATTAATATCTGGGTCTTCAATTCAATTGCATTGGTCAACCTCTCTGTTTTTATGCCAATACCAAGCTGTTTTCATTACTGTAATGACATCAGCTCTGTAATAGAGCTTGATGTCAGGGATGGTGATGCCTCCAGAAGTTCCTTTATTGTACAGGATTTTTTGGCTATCCTGAGTTTTTTGTTTTTCCATATGAAGTTGATTATTGTTCTTTCAAGGTCTGTGAAAAATTGTGTTGGGATTTTGATGGGGATTGCACTGAATCTACAGAATGCTTTTGGTAGGATTGCCTTTTTAAAATGTTGATCCTACCTATCCAAGATATTTTTGTTATTTGTGGTTATTGGGAAAGGTGATGTTTCACCATCATGGAAAATGCAAATCAAAACAACTCTGAAATAACATTTTACACCAGTCAGAATGGCTAAGATCAAAAACACCAATGATTGCTTATGCTGGAGAGGATGTGGAGCAAGGAGAACACTCCTCCATTGCTGGTGGGAATGCAAACTTATACAACCACTTTGGAAATCAGTATGGCAGTTTCTCAGAAAATTGGGAATCAACCTATCTCAAGATCCACCAATACCACTCTTGGGCATATACTCATAAGATGTTCAATCATACTACAAAGACATTTGTTCAACTATGTTCACAGCAGCATTATTTGTAATAGCCAGAACCTGGAAACAACCTAGATGCCCTAAACCGAAGAATGAACAAAGAAAACGTGGCACATTTACACATTAGAGTACTACTCAGCGGTAAAAAAACAATGACATCTTGAATTTTTCATGCAAATGTATGGAAACAGAAAACACTATCCTGAGTGAGGTAACCCAGACCCAAAGAGGTGAATATGGTATGTATTCGCTCATAAGTAGATACTACCTATAAACAAAGGATATTGTGCCTATAGTCCATGATCCTAGAGAAGCTAAGTAATAAGGTGAACCCTAAGAAAAACATATAGATCTACCTGGAAAGTCAAAATAGACAAGATTGCCTGACAAAATTGGGAGCATGGGGGTGGAGGGAGTAGGAAGAGTGGAAGACAAGGGGAGAGAGAAGAGGGGGAGGAGAACTTGAGGGAATGGGATGGTCAGATGAAGGAAGGACAGAGATGAGAGCAAGGATTGAGGTAGACATTATGGGGTTAGCAAAAAACCTGGCTCTAGAGAAATTCCCAGGAATCCACAAGGATGACCCCAGCTAGGATCCTAAGCAACAGGGGAGAGGGGGCCCGTACTGACCTTGCCCTGTAATTAGACTGATGAATATCTCAAATATCATCATAGAACCTTCATTCAACAACTGATGGAAACAGAGGCAGAGACCCACATCAGAGCACTGGGCTGAGCTCCCAAAGTTCAGTTGGAGAGTGGGAGGAGTGAGAATATGAGCAAAGTGGGTCAAGACCATGATGGCGACACCCACTGAAACAGTTTACCTGAGCTCACCAACTCCAGCCAGACAGGGAAGGAGCCAGCAGAGGTCCAACTAGTCCCTGTGAATGTGGGTGACAGTTGTATGGCTGGGCAGACTGCGGGGGCCACTGGCAGTGGCACCAGGATTTATCCCTACAGCTTCTACTGGCTTTTTGGGACCCTATTCTCTTTGGATGGATACCTTGTTCAGTCTAAATATAGCAAGGAGGGCCTTGGGCCTTCCGCAGAGCAATGTGTCTTACCCTCTCTGAGGAGTGGATAAGGGTGGGGGTGGGGGATTGGGGAGGAAATTTGAGGAGGGGAGGAAGTGGGAACTTGGATTAGATGTATAATGAAAAAATATAGTTTATTTTCCTTTAAAAAATATAAAAAACATAATAAAATCACACCCCATTTTAAAAAAAGAAAAATGTTATTCTATGCTTCTATATATGAATTGTACATGCATATGAATCATAAAGCATCCTGCCTAAATGACTAAACAAGAAAGAACCTTTTACTAAGTGACAGCTGAAAACTGTAAGTTTATGACATATACTGACCTCTGTAAAAGGAAGCAAGAATTTCTGTAAATACTAGAAACACTATACTACACACAATTACCATTTATTAGAAGGATTTATTATAAAAATTCTAAAACATTGTCATTTATAATTCTATTGAGTATAAATATACCCCCAAAGACTGATAATGGTTTATCTCCTCTCTCAGAAAATAGCATTTACAGGAACAGAATCGCTCAGTAATATATTCATTTTAATTACTTTTTCCTCTCTTTCCCTCTGATTCATCTAATAGTATGTAACTTGGTACAGAAAAAATTTACTCCAGATCACAGGAAGTAAAGGGCCTCCAAACCAGCAACCAGTGTTTAAAGGAAAACTAGAATTCATATACAACAGTTGGTTCTCAACTTGTGGGTTATGACCAATTTATGGTTGAATGATCCTATCACAGGGGTTACCTAAAGCCAATGGAAAACACAGATATTTATAATTCATAACAGTAACAAAATTATAGTTATAAAGTAGCAATGAAAATAATGTTATGGCTGGGATCACCATAACATGAGAAACTGTATTAAAGTACCGCTGCATTGCAATGGTTGAGAATCACTACCCTACCACTTCCTGGGCCCCATGTTGAGAATACAACCAAAAACTAAGATGGTTTATGGCCAAATAGTAAAATATTATACATCAGTCAAAACTGTCACATGTAATGTGTTCTGTATTGCATCTTGAAAACATACGCCTTCATAATATCCAAGAAGGTTGGGCATTCTTAAGCTTCTAAGAGTATCACATATTGAAATAGCTGAGGCCTACAGCCCAATTCTCCCCTTTTCTGTCTTCATCCTCATCTGTCACCAAGTGAGGTTTACACAAGGATGGACAAATGAACTCATCCACGTTCTTCCAACAACAGTCCTGGGTATTCCTTGGATGAAACTAGATG